CTTCGAAGCGGCCTTCCAAAGAAAGGATGGAACATCCGGTGGTTTGGAAGTGCCTTTGTATTTCCTAGTTTTATATCCCCCCGCGCTGTAGAATGATGACCCCTCTTTTGGGATTGAGGTCACCTCACCTGTAACAGGATCAACAACCTCAACCATGTCTTCAGGTGGAACGCCTTCGAAAGGATCCTTGGGTGGATCTTTGGGCTTACCGGATGAGGATGACGAGGAACCTCCTTTGCCCTCTTCATCTTCACCGGGATCATAAATCCCACTTTCAAACGCATCCTTCATTGAATGATCAACCATTCTATCAGTCGAAGGGACCTTGAGTGCTTTGACACTTTCCATCGGACCTTTGTCAATCAACTCCTCCACCGGTTTAGCATCCTCGTCTTCAGGCTTTGGAGGATCGTCCGATATCATGTAGCATGGAATGCGACCCTCACGGATAGCATTATACCTGTCCTTCAGTGGAAACACAAAATCTCCGTCAGGCAATGCGAGTTTGTTCGTTCCAACCCATGGCACACTACTATCAAAGTTGTTGTCCATCACCTCTTTAAGAGGGAGAACAAGGAACTCTTTCTCCATGAGAATTCAGGGTGAATCTTATATCCCAAAAACACTCCTGGTAGTGAGGTAGGATCGAATTTCAATTTTTCTTTGGTTTTGGTTTTTGGTCCGGTCCAATAGTCAACCCTCACTCCAAAAGGAATCATTGGTCCCTTGAACTTCTCATCAAACCTGAGTTGCCATGGTGTCTGAGCCTCCTGATCACCGAGTATGTTGTGCGCCATACAACAATGTCTGGCGGCATGCGTCCAGTACGTATGGTGCAAACCTGCTTGTTCAAGATTGATACGAGTTCCATCAAGAACGGATCGAATACTTCTCTCTGCTTGAGCGTTGCTCTTAGATATATAGGGAACACTTGTAACGTGTCTCCATTTTAACTCTGATGCTGCTTTGACGAGCTCTTCCGCATTGTCTGAGTAGAACACACCAATGTCACCCCGTCCCCGGGTGAAGTGCTTCAATGCAAGAACACAATCTCTAGTCGTTTTCCTAGCCGACGGATATACATATCTAAAGTCCGTAGCTATGTCCTTAACGACTAGAGCGTTTCTTGAACCATCGATAGCCTCTTCTTCGTCGTCCCGAAGAATGAGATGATCAGCAGTGATGTGATCACCAAACTTGTCAGCATCAACAGTTTCGGATCCTCCCTTCTTGTACGATGGTGGCTTAGTCATCTTAGCCCTTGAACATGTCGTGCAAAAAGGGTTCTTGGGAACATGCGTCAACAAATGCGCAAGCGACTTTGCTTCCCGCCTCAAGGCTTGTTCACCACGATCACGCTTTTCCGCGGGTGGATCGGGGACTAACCTGGCATCGACTGCTTCGGGTTCTGCTTCCGCAGACTCATGGGGTGCTTCCTCTACGCTAGGTGAAGTAGGGATCGGAATGTACGAAGACTTGCCGTTCCCGGAAGCATGATCTTCATACTTATGTCCGATAGCAGTCATGGCCATACCACTGGTTGATGGTAAATAAGGAACATAGTCCTTCACTTGAAGCTTGATCCTCTGCCCATTTGGCTTTTTGAAGTATGGTGTATCATTTGACGGCCAAATGAACGACCAATCATGATCAATACATACTTGTCCCACGGATATCACTGCCGGACTATCATCAAGTACATATGGTTTTGCAGTGATTCCCAACAAGGGAATATCAAGATTAGCCTGATCATTAGCCTGGAATACTCCGTTAGCTGTAAGAAGACTAACCGGTTTCGAGGATTCGAACACTTCGTTGCGATTGACCATTTCCCTAGATACCAGATCATTCGCACTGCCAGTATCTGCAATCCATGCAATCTCGGTCGCAGGCATTGTGACCTGTTGGTTCTTAAAACAATGCTTGCAACCCATTTCCGAATCGCAAAGATAGCAACAGCGTGCCTCGATGCCTTTCAACTCGTTTGAAACAGCTCTGCTCAAACGTTCTGCTGCAATGCATGCATCTTTAGATGCCATTTCCAAAACTTCAGTGTTTCCTTTGTGGCCTATTGGGAAACTGACATGCTTTCTTTGTTTTCGCGCAACAACTGGAAACATTAAAGAATTGCAATGAACCACGTGTTTAAAAACTTCTGGTTTGTCAGCAAAAGAAAGGCATTTCACTTTTCCCCGTCCTGACGAAGATGATGGGGAAGAACTGGTGGCAGGTGTAGCAACCATGGCCACGCTTTCCAACGGGCATCTGATAGTAGCAGACTGTGATGATGAGACCGCAGTAGCTAAGACCAGAGTGCGCAGCAGGCAAACAGCGGCTGGGTTAGAAGGAGCACCTTTCCCACCTTTGGATTTCTGACTACCGCCAGAACCGTTGGAGCCACGAGAAGTACTTCGTTTCTTCTTCTCTCTTTTCTCCTTCTTCTTCTTCTTTCGTTTCTTCCGGTCGTCACTTGGTGCGGGTGTAGAAGAACGATCAGGATGTTTGAAAGCACAATTCTTTCCCCGGTGACAGTCACCAGATTTCCAAAACTTGCAAACTTCCGATCTTGATCCCGGAGTCAACGACCTTCCACGTGAAGAAGAAGATCTACCCTTTCCACCACCTTTGGGCCTCCCTTTGCTGGATTCACGGGGTTTCTCATGCTTGAATGGGCAGTCGCGCCTACCGCACTTTCCTTTGTTCTGAAACTCATAGCAAACGCCTTTCGGCTTTTTGTCACTTGGGTCAATGACAGGAGCTGCAGGGTCTTTACCTCCAAGACTACGCTTCGTGGCATCCCTCATCTTTTCCAAACGTTTCCTTTCAAGGTATGCCTTGGCGGACTTGGTCAAAAAGTCGTAAGTCTTTTCGGCACTCCCTTCCGAGGCGCGTTCGTAGATGGCAAGATCATGAGCTAAAGGCTTAAAGTTCTTCACAGCAAGATGAAAATATGCTTCAAGCCATTTCTTGTCAACTTCCGTTCGCATCCCCGCAATAACAGACTCCCATCGCGTGACAAAACCTTTCAGGTCCTCGTTCACCATCTTAACACATATAAGATCTTCAACATCGTAAATAGCACCGTGTTTGATGGATGTAGCAAAGTACTCATGGAACAACAGTAGAATTTGTCGTCCCTTAATTGGTTCCTTTGCTTTCTCCTTGGTTTCCTTAAACGTGTTCAGTTGGCGAGCAAGGTCCCCCTCCGCACAGTTCGTGAGACTTGAAAGAAGTTTTGCATCCAGCGTGATGAAACCCTCAGAGTCATCCAGGTCCTTAGTTGTCACGGCGTCTTCATAAACCTTACCTAGCCATAACCTGGCTTTATCCGGCTTAGCGGATGCCGCTGACACATTGTCCCGAACTTTAATTCGCCAATCTCTATACCTTTCAGGTGTAGGAAACTTGGGAATGAGGATCTTTTCGGCCTCTTTGGCCCTCTGTTCACGATCCTCTTTCTTCATCTTCTTCAAATGTTTCCTAACCTTACGGGCAAAGGATGAATCCTCAGAAGACGAGCTCGACGATGAAGGTGACTCGGACGGTGAAGGTGACCCCTTTTTGTTTTTCTTTTTGTTCTTTTTGCGGGGTGATCTGCCACGCTTCTCTTCCTTGTCATCTTTCTTCTTCTTCTTTTTGTCTTTCTTGCTCTTCTTCTTGTCATCGGATGAAGACGAACTTGATGAACTGGGATGATCTGGAGGACCACCTCCAGCTACCTTCGGGGCATTAACCGCTCCACTCGCAAGAGCATCACGGTAGGGTTCGCCGGAACTATCAGTCATTGATTTCTGCATTGGTCGATATGGTTGACCAAGAGGTAGCTCGTTTGAACCCATTGGGCCTGGAAGAGTTGTCCTGAGGTTAGCCGGTGTTCCAGCAGGCTCATAGTTCCCTCGAGCGGATGTTTCCATTTTCTCTCGAAGTTCTCTAATGAGCTCTGTTTGTGTTCTCAACTCTTCCCTCAGCTGCGATTCACGACTCTGCGCTTGTTGTTGTAATTCTGTCAAGTTGTGATTGTATAGTTGAGCTTCAGTCAACGCAGCATTCTTGATGACTGCTTCTTGTGCATTCATCTTAGCTTGCTCGTTTGCAGCCCAAGATGCAGCTCTTCGTTCTTGTAACTCGAGTTGCTCCTTGACATGGTCGTGTGCCTCTCGGTGAATGGCTTCCACTGTCTTTTTCACTTCTTCATCTTTCTTGGACATCAGTTCCCTGTGTCGCGCTTCTGCAAGTTGTGCGACCTCAGCGGACTTGTCCAGGTTGACGTTGATCATTCTTTGATCGTGGAAGTTCGCCGTTTGGTTAATGACTTGTCTCGAATCATTGTATGTACTCGACGGAACAAAGGCAGGGCTCGTGGGAGACAGGATAACCGCACCAGTCGATGTAGCTGGTGGCAACACGTTCCCATGTGCTTCAACCAATGCATCCTCATCATGCTCTGAGGTGAAGACTTCCGTCTGTACATATGACCCATTCTCATCGGCATCACCGACTCTTGACCTCGATCGATCCGTGCCATCTCGAATTGGTTCGAAGGGCCTGTCCGCCATGCCACCTCACGTGTGCGCAGAACGAGGGTGGGTAGGTGACACAGCTAGAATGGCGCGTACCGCTCTTTGGCGATACGGCTGGTAACCTGAATTTACAGGCCAACAGCCTACAAGTACCAACATGTAGAGCGCCCTTTTCTTGAGCCAAACATAGAGGTCAATATGGTATGTACAGGTGTACAATCGTGCAAATACAGTAGTAGGTAGTAGGTAGTAGGAAGTAGGTAGTAGGTGGTAGGTGGTAGGTGGTAGGAGGTAGGTGGTAGGTGGTAGGTGGTAGTAGTAGCAGCAGCAGCAGTAGTAGTAGTAGTAGTGGTGGTGGTGGTAGTAGTGGTACTTGTTTTGATTATTATGTGCTTCTGTATGTTTATATGTGTTTATGAATGTTTATGATGTATATGCTGGCTGACTCTAGTGTCCCCTCACTGGGTCAATGTCGTGCTCCTGCGTCAACTCCATCTTTTCTTCGTTCGACATCGCCTTGGGGTCCCGCAGGTTGATGTGGTGAACACGCTAAGCTAAACAGGAGCATCGCTACCAGGAACAAAGGGCATCGCTACTAGGAGCAAGGACGCCAATTACGAGTGCTCCTGGCCTTACTAGGAACAAGGACGCTACTAGGAGCAAAGGGCATCGCTACTAGGGACTCCTGGCCTGGAGCAAGGACGCTACTAAGGGCAGGAGCATCAAGCCCTCGACCTCGAACTTTTCCCAGCTCAGCCGTTCCGACAAAGGAGCCTTCTGAGATCCTTGGACCAATTGACGGCTCTCTGTAGGTCTGATTCAAAAATTAAGGAGCAACATACAGCACTGAAACTGACAATCAAAAAGCTCAATCCCAATTCTCAATGGCCTGAATCTGTACCGGAGGTTGCAGCTTCCTGCTGGGTTCAACTTACAATTTTCATGTTCTGGCTAACTAATTCATAGCTTTGTATTGATCTTTGGAATTTGAATTTGCAAGGTGTTTAACGAACACTTCGTAAATTTGATGTTGCTTGCAGGTGCCTCTTCTGGTTCAGGTTGAGGTGCTTCAGGTTCTGGCGGCCAAAAGTTGTCCACTCGGACAGCAACGCCCAACACGGTTTTGCTTCACTCGGAGCTTCAAAGGTCAGCAAAAAAGTCTCGCCTGGCACCTCAAGGGCACTCAACTGGTCTGAAACTTCTTTGATCCTCGTCAGCAAAGACTGCGCCTGGCTGCCAAACCGGGACACACATATATACGATATGCATTATGTGATATGTAATTAATAGAATAGATTCTTTTTTGTGGGCGTCCCCCTCTCCAATGTTGATCTTTTGGCCGATTTTTCGGAGGGGGCCGATATAATGGTCCTCTGGAGTTGTAGCAGCAGCAGCAGCAGTAGTAGTAGATACTATAGATATGGATTTGGAATGGGGATGTGTGCTAATTAGTCTTTTGGGACGAATACTAAATTACATTGATTTTCTGAAAAAAAGGTACCATAATTGAGGGTAACCTGCCAAAAGGGGGATCCAAAATTAGATGATATGTTGTTGAGGAGCTGGTTTACTATTACCCAGAGTACCACATCTGTGGGGCCATTTCCAAGCAAGTCCAATTGAGCCAGCATCTCTTCGCTTCTAAGTCCAGTAGCTTCTGGCAGCTTGAACCTGAGAAAACTCAACTCGACTTGAATCAGGCTGGATTGATTCCAAAACCCTAAGGCTGTTTTAGGAAAGAAAACAAAAGAATTGGATTGTGTTGGATATTGTCCTGTTTCCTCACCCTAGCATGCCAATCGCTGAGGTGCGCGTTGGCTCGGCGAAGTTTGCTTTCAACCGCTTCCAACTCGATCTGCAAGGATTCCGAGGCCTGGTTCGTCGTGCAGAAGCACCCACGCAACAATTTATGGGTGTCTTCACCAATTCCAAATCTTGTCATGCCAAGGCAAAAGCACTCAAAAGGTATGGCAGAAATGTTGGAAAATTTGAACACGGTCACGAACTGCCCTTCCTTTAGAAGTTCTTCTTTGGACTGGACCTCAGTCTCTCAGCCAGCCCACTCCTACACCTTGCAAAGCAATATCTGAGCCAGAAACATCTACTCGCTCCATGACATCAACACCTGCTTGCAAGGAACATCGAAACTGGAGAATGAACTTGTTGGATTCCGTCGAAAAAAAATTGGTCGGACGTGGCTGTCAAGAGGAATCCGAAGCGCTTTCGGGGGTGATGCCCTTTGTCACTAGTAGCTTACTAGTAGTAAGGCCAGGAGCCCCTAGTAGCGTCCTTGCTCCTAGTAGCGATGCCAGGAGCCCCTAGTAGCTTCTTGATACGTGTTTAAGTTTCCCTAAAAATCCAGGAACCAAGTCATTAGTGCGAGCGCTTCTTCCAGGGAGCTGCCCCCCGCTCTCAGGTGGAGCTTCCTGGAAGAAGCGTGAGATATCCTGCGTCTAACTTAGCCTAGTAGCTTTCTTCTCTCTTGCCTGCTTATATAAGTAGGCACCTACTTATATAGTACGAGGTCGGCCAAACAAAGAAAGTTCTTAGTCCTTCACCAAAGTCTTGAGTCTTGACATGGTCTTCTTGGCCGCTGCACGTGGTTTCGGCTTGTTTGGGCTTGGCCATGCTCGGCCTGCCGCAGCCCGCAGTTCTCGGTGACTTCGTGGCGGCCTGGAAGAGAAACAGTCGGCACGGTGACACTCGGCAGGGTTTATTCAGAGGTCAGGCCTGGCTCCAATAAAGGCCTTCTCCGCAAACATAAGGCACCTCAAACGGTGCGATTGAAGCAAAGCTGGCAAAGTGAACAAAAAGAAACACCTGCTCCCTCAAAAAAACAAAGAACGTGTTTTGTATTGTTTCGTTCAGTTCCCTCCCTTTTGGAACAGTTTCTCCATCGCAGTTGGAATTGCTTGTGCCGAGGTTGCTTTGATCAAAGACCCCGGCCAGAGCGATACCAACAGCAGTGACGGAACGCCAACACGGCTCCGTCGAAATCGCATGGCCTCACGAACGACGGTGATGGTAGACCGCCAAGCACTTGGACCAGGTCCATGCTACTAGTAGCTTCTTGCTACTATAATGCCCTTATTACTAGTAGCTTCTAGCTACTGCTAGCGATGCACTTTTTACTAGTAGCGATGCCCTTGTTGACATCTTTGGCAAATCTCTGGCTTGAATCTGCACAACATGTCCACCGGTGTGTGGTGCCTGAGACATGGCGATCTTGTTGGTGAGACGAAGACTCCGGAGATGAGACCCAGGACTACCGGCGTAACTCGGGACGGACCAAGACGGAGGAACTGGTCCCTGGCAGAGCGAGGATTTGATCGGTCGTTGCGAGTTGCAACACCCATTACGACTGGGGTTTTCAGGCATACGTCGTATGCAATGTGGCTTTAAAACGCTGTAAATGATGTTTAATTTGACTTGCAACTGTTCACTGACATGAGCCAGGCAGCGCTGAGGGAAAGAAAAGCACTCAGAGAAGTGATGAAGAGAAAAAGCAAATAGGACCATAGGAAGCAGCGCTTGAAAACATGCGGTCCGAAATCATCTGCAATGCTTCTCATATCTTTTGCTCTGCTCTCCGCACACGTATCCAGCGGAGGTGTTGAAACGCACTACTAAGGGTATCACTGCCACGACAAGGCCAAAGCTACTCGTGTCATGTCCGTTCTTGGCGAATTTGTGGTCTCTGCGAAATTGCAGAGCCAACTCAAATGCACTTAGCTGGGCTTCTCCTGAAGTGAGCCTTCAATATCTAGAATTTCTTCCATGAAGAGTGTATCTTCTGGAGATCCAGCTGTTGCCGACACTACATGTTCTCTGAAGTACAGCCAATGTTATCCAATGTTCACAACTCGGTCCCAAACTGAAGAAAAGCATGTGGTATCCTCAACGGTCCTCTACACTCTACGTGCATTTGTCCCAAATGAATCTGGTGCTTCGTTGACAATTCTTGACCTTTACAGGAGGGGTGCAAACCACCCGTGCAACAGAGTGAAAGGCCATCAGGCTTCCTGGGTGGCACTCTTCCTGCCGTTTCGAGATGGGCTTTGCACGGCAAGCGAAATGTGTGGGTTTTTAGGATGACTTCGGTCCTCACCCATAAGGTTATTAAGCGCAACAGAGCGTCTTGTGCGCCCAAGCCCGTATCCTGCCAAAGCGTTTCTTTGTTTCATTCCGACCCACAAAAAGGTTTCTGTGAGAGCTCAGCATTTGTCTCCAGTGCCTTGTGATTTTTAATTGCATCAAAACAGGATTTACAGCGAACATTGCAATCTTTCACTCCATGACACTTGATCTCCTCTGACAGCTCTCAAATGAGCTGACATCCGTGGAATTTGGGCCTGTGAACTACTCTGTCAAGAGCTGCTGCGCGCACGGTACAGGACAACCAAGAAACTGGGCCTTGACATCAATCTAGGATAAGGCATTCTTCCTGACCAGTTACCTCGAAGGCTGCAGACTTCTTCGGTTTATAGTTTAAAAATGTTCAAGAACATGATTCATCTGTCAACTGTCGCAAGGAGGTGCCTCAGGAGGCAATTCCTTCTGGATTGCCTTCTCCCCGAAATCCTGGCAAACCCCAAATTTCCACTGCTCGCTTGGAGTCTCGTGGAGTCTGACAATCATCAAACTGAGGATTCTGGATCCATGCCATGGTGACTCTAGGAGAACGGGGGGCCACAAACAAACAAACCCAACTTTCCGCCTGCAGGAAGGCCTTGGCACCGGGCGGTGCGTCTGGCGGTGGAATGAGAGGCGCCTGAGAGGGTTTGAACTGCACTTCAGGTGGTCGGTCGGTTTCCGCCAAAACAAACGCGGGTACACCTTTCAGAAAGGTCCTCGAAAATGACTAGAAAGCTATAGAAAGCTGTTGTATGTCTGTGGCAGTGCCGAAAAGCAGAGCATTCCAAGAAAAGATCTCAGCTGCTGGGCATGATTCAGCACATCTGCCTCCTGCCACTCGCAGTGGGGCACCCAGGGTTCAACTAAGACCTAAAGAGGAAGGAGGTACAGCTGCTGGGACCTGTTACACCTCAAAAAAATTGATTAGTTACTTCTCTTCCTTTGAGCTGAGAAGCCTCTGAGTTTTACTTAGCTGTCCCTTTCGATTATATACTGTAAGAGGTCTGGGTCTGCGGTGTGGCCATCCACGATGCTTTGCAATCGGCAAAGCTCAAAGCGTCGTTCCCTTGCAGAGTTGATCCAACTGGTCTGTGGAATCGTCCCCGTTGGTGTGGGAACAGGTGAAGTTATGAAAGGTCGTCCGCACGTGCTACCCCTACATGGCCAATCCTTTTCGATCCACACCCCTGAGAATCTGGGAACAAAGCAATGGAATGTGATTTTTTTTGACATTTAAAAATTAAACCTCTGGTGGGGAGGGGGAGATTCCTTTCATTTTGATGCGGGGAGACATGAAAGCCCTTCTCCTTGAGAGCGGCTGCCAAAGTGTTTTCAGCACCTGGAACTTGATGCGCCCACGAGGCAACATGCACACTTCCCATGAGGCGACCTACTTCTCCATGCAGTGCAAATGAACATCATGGGAGACATCAATGTTGCTCTCAGGGGTGTGTGTGTGTGTGTGTCCACACCTGTGCCTAAGGTTTTGAGTCATAAAGAACGCTACTAGGGCCCCTGGTTTTCCTACTAAGGGCTCCTGGTATCGCTACTAACATATAGCTTCTCAACGCAGAAAAAAGAGGCAGGGGGTAGCGGCAGATCATTTGGGACCGCTACCAACGAAGACGCCCATTTGATCTGGTGACATCAGAGTTGGCCACTCTGACGTACCTGCTACATATGTTCAAACGGTTTTCAAGCTGTCCAATGCGGTGTTGTGCATTAAAGGTCTAATGAGCTGAAGAAAACTTGTTATAACACCTTCAAATGATCGGACTTTTCACCTTGCGGTTTGCGCTTCTTTCCGTTCCATCAAGTCAAGGGGAACTTCGTACTGATCGTAGCTCTTGCGAGCAACAATCTAAGTGTGTTTTCGCCACAGGGTCCCACTGAGGGCTTTGGTGTGATCCCCGTCAAGGGGCGCCGCATGTGCACAGACCCAGATCCTGGGGGAATCCTACTGATCCTACTGCATTTCCGTTCTGCAATCCTGAACTTCTTTTGGTTCTCCTTGATCGGCGGTGATGCACGATACCACTGATTCTATGCCGCAGGGCTCACTGTGATCCAAACTCTGGATTTGCACCATCATGGAAACATGCGTCTAAGTATTCACAGGCGGGATTCGGCACAGTACTTTAGGCAGGGCACAAGTTCATGTGCTTTTGTTGCATGTGTTTTTCATGCTCTTCGGTTCTTTCTCTCCTTTTGTTGCTTTTCGTTTCTTGAGGCCTTTCTTTAGGTTCCAGGTGTCTTTCAGACAAGGGGTGCGCCGGCCCAAATCGGCTTTACTTGAATGCCAATGATGGCAGGGCCTACGGGCCACCCTGGTTGCTATCCCACCCGCTATTCGGGCAACAGAAGGAAATCGCACTCAACACACTTGTGCGTTGGTGCCTTTCCTTCTGTTCCTCCTACCCTATTGCTAGCTACCCGGGCGGTTTAAGCCCGCGTTCTACTTTCATTTAACTAAGTGGGCCTCGTAACTACACCTATCCTTCCTTCTTGCCCTCTTAGTCTGCTTTTGTTTGTTTGCTTTTTCTGTCTTTCTAAGGCTTTTTAGGTCGCTAGTAGTTTTCAAAAAAGCGCCAATATTGGCGCTATGTGTACAAAGTTTTGCGACCAGCGGACACAAACGATGCTACTAGGGGCTTCTGGCCTCGCTACCAGGAGCCAGGACGGTACTACCGGGACCTCTGACCTTTCTACAGGGTGTAAGGACGCTACTAGCGACTCCTGGCCATGCTACTAAGCTGCCAGCAAGGGTCAGTGCGCCGAGAACGGCTTCGTGTGTGTGTGTGTCCACACCTGTGCCTAAGGTTTTGAGTCATAAAGAACGCTACTAGGGCCCCTGGCTTTGCTACTAAGGGCTCCTGGTATCGCTACTAACATGTAGCTTCTCAACGCAGAAAAAAGAGGCAGGGGGTAGCGGCAGATCATTTGGGACCGCTCTCAACGAAGACGCCCATTTGATCTGGTGACATCAGAGTTGGCCACTCTGACGTACCTGCTACATATGTTCAAACGGTTTTCAAGCTGTCCAATGCGGTGTTGTGCATTAAAGGTCTAATGAGCTGAAGAAAACTTGTTATAACACCTTCAAATGATCGGACTTTTCACCTTGCGGTTTGCGCTTCTTTCCGTTCCATCAAGTCAAGGGGAACTTCGTACTGATCCTAGCTCTTGCGAGCAACAATCTAAGTGTGTCATGCTGCTTAGCTGAGTCTAGCTGCTATCTACTCTGGGCATCCCAGCTGTGTGGTGCATGGGCCCGACTTCCCTCTGGAGAAGTCGCGATGTGCACAGAGAGAGGCGAGGCATCCGCCATTGGACCAGGACCAGGACCTGAAGTGCAGGTGGTGAGGTTCATGCCGGATGGAGACTGTCAGGCTGTGGTAAATTGAGGGAGAACTGTTCTGGAAATTCGTAGGTTTGGACTCTCCTGGCTCATTTGGTCACAAATTCTAAATCGTTCACCGAGTGAACCACCGGATGACCAAGTCCCGAAGGCAAAGCCATTCGGCATTTGTACAGAGGCACTCGTCCCCTGCAAAATATGGCCAAACACATAAAGCACAAGTTTGCTGCTCTCAAAGAACTCACCAACATCCCGTGAATCCCACGCCTCAGGGGGCCACCTAAGGTTCAACAAAGCGCACAAATTGCACCAAATTGGTTCTATTCACTCACTCCTCTGCCTGCGGCAGGCCGGAGTCTGATCAGTTGTGCGATCGAGCAGCTGCGATGGAACCATATGCCCACCTACAAGAGAAGCATGTAACATGTGAATCGTGGCGGTTGCGCTGTCCGGAGATTCAGCCATCATCCCTCACGAGTAAAACGGCTAACGCACGTCTCATCTTGCAAGGATGTGAGAAAATCTTCAGCAAAATGTCCTGCCTGGGCTAGCGGAGTCTGGCACTGGGCAACCCAAAGGAGGTGAGCACGCAGCGGCGGACCTTTGTCCAGACACAGATTGAGAGCAGTCTTGACAAAGTAATAAGTAATGTAAGCAAGAAGCGGTGCAGACTCACATCCACACTGAGCCACACATCGAACCTGGCAAAACCAAGACAAACTTAAAT